TTTTTTTTTTTTACCAAATAGACGCCGCAGAAGAGATTTTGAAATCCGGCTCTGGTGCGGCGGATCTAAGATTGTATCGCATGACAAAGTTTGTGCAGCTCCTCGGCGCGCACTGGTGGCGTCGAGAGCTCACGGGCGTCTGCGACGTTGTCGCCGTCTCTCCCGGCCTGGTCCCCGAAACCGGACTCGCTCGTGACAGCGGCATCGAGCTGCCGGCCGGATCGCCAGATGCCAGAACGGTCCCGCAAGGTACGTGCCAACCCCCCCCCCCCCCCAACAAAAGCAATGACAAGAAGCCGACGCTCATGGCTCATTTCATTTGTGGCTTTGTAATTAGGTGCTCAGAGCCTGCTTGCTGCTCTCACAAGATCAGACTTTCCTCAAGACCCGGACCGCATTTTCCTAACCAGCTGGGGCGAGTGGTGGGAAAAGTCTGTTATTGAAAAGACGCTGGACAGGCAGCTGCAAGATAAATGGTCATTTTCCAAAGAGGACATTGAGAAAGAGGCAGGGATCTCGGCTTGATCATTTGAGTGGAATTTGGCTACATTTTTGTGTATCACGTCATTTGAATTTTCATTGTTCTTGCCACATCTGCTTATTTAAAAAATTGCCACTCCGTTCGGCGGACTGGCAACACCACCTCTGGTCTGGGTTCTTGTCAGATCTTGAAAGGCAATTCGGATGACACGTACTCACGTAGATGGGCATGCTGCTAAAGAAGAAGGTCCATCGCTTCTTTTCCCGACATTCCTCAGCCAGTCTTTTCAAATTGAACAATTCGCCAATGGGCATACCCCAGCCCGCAAGTAGCCACTCGTGAAGAACGAACCCGTTCTTCGAAGGTGGCCAAGCCTCCATAGCTGGCTGATCGCCGGCAATGGCCGCAAATCCGTTATCCCAGATCCATTTGAGCGTGTCTCTGGAGCTCTCCACTCCAATGGCAGTCGGGGTCAATTCTTTGGTAAGATTCGTTTTGGCCTCGGATGTCAATCTATCGTAGGTCTCCGTGAAGCCAGTGCGAATGAAAACGATGTCTCCATGCCTAAATGTCGTGCCTTGGCTCACCGCGACCTCATTTAGAGTCTCAGCGGTGATGGGATATTTGCTAAAGATGTCAACTTTGAGACCCTTTTTCTCGGCCCAGGCAGCCCAATCAAGTAGCACGCCACGACCGACGATGCCTCCGGTTTCGACCCACGCTGTCGTCACAAAATCTCTCAGTCATCGATAGCTCCAGATCCGTTGTCCGTAGACTCACCATGTGTGCCGATCCTGTCCGAGCCCAAAATCTGCTGCTGCGTCGTGCCATTGTAAAATAGGCCTCCCTCCACGCCGTAGTGGCGAAAGCCATCCCACTGCGTGCTCGACTGCGTGTTGAAAGTAACAACGTCATCGTTGACGGCTCTCGGCGCCTTGTTCAGGATCTCGTGCTTAAAGGCTTGTCTGCCAAACGCCGGCGGCTGCATGCTGTCCAGGGGCCAGTCCGTCGCCACGCGTGTGCCGTCAATAATTTCCTTGGCGGCGCTGGTCGTGGTGTCGGGCGTCAGCAGGTTGAGAGTGCCGAGCTCGTCGTCCTCGCCATATAAGCCCCACGCATTGCCGGGAGGTCCGTCCTTGCGGAGCGGGAGCGAGTCAAAGGACGGTCTGGCGGGCATAACTTTCTTACTGTTAGGTAGAATTCTTTTTGGTGTAGTTGAAGGTGGAAGAATGAATGATGAGATCGGGGTTGTAAAGATGGATCTTCTTGGTGCCGAGATGTAATTGTAAAGAGGGGAGGCAAGCTCGGTTGCGGAGATGCATCCACGGATCTACGCCGCCAATCAGGGTTGGCTAATCCCTAGATAGCGACTAAAAAACTAGTTGAATTAGCAAGACCAAGGGAAGTTTCGTTATTCACCTTCTTCTTACATCCATGTTATTTCCGTCTTCTCAGCTGAAACATCAACCTGTCAGTCGGTTGCGTTGGTAAATGCCATGTTGCACTTGAGTCCTATCGGTACAGCGACACCCAGAATTTCGGTCATTTTCCAGGAATTTATTGAGGTGTTGGTGATTTGAATTTATGATTGGCTGTGCGGGTATTGGCCAGCGTCAGTCTAGTAAACCTTGTTGTTTCCATGCATACAGGTCAAGTAACCTCAATGTTGGTCGGACTGTAACCCTTCACCATGCCACGTCGCAAACTACAACGTGGACTGATCGAGGCTGAGCGATAAAAATAAGCAGTCCATCAAGGTGAACCTAGCTTATCGGTGTTTGTTGCAGTCGCGTCCATTGCTCGTCAAGTGCTGTATATCCAATACATTGCCGTTTGCTACCATCCCATTCATTGCCGAATCGGGCTTGGAACTCACCTCTGCAAGGCAATGGGTAAGAGCCCAAGACAGGTACATGAAAGCATCAGCAAACTATACAAAATCCATGCCTACTCGGGAGGGGGGGTGTTTTCTTACATGCCCAGGGACAGATTCTCGTGAATTAAATATTTTCACGGCTTGTCGGCATAAATTTAGCCCCGCAGATGGGATGTCGGATAGGATGTCAGAAGTATGAAAGATATGTCGAGTCAAACGGACAAACCTATCAGAGTGCATGTCAGAAAACACTCGCTTCCCGCGTAGGTAAGTAAGCCCCTCACTTTTGGGGATAAGCATAAATCAGAAAACTCGGCACATGAGCTACGAGCCTGTCTCTTCTCTTTTCTCGCGTCGCATCCGAGTTGGGTTCAAGTAGAATATTCTGGTAGATGTCAGATACAACAGGATACAACACCAACCGCAAGGTGCTAATCAATTGGCATCCCAATAAATTGGGAATGCCTCCTCTCACACTCATGACAAGGTGAAATAACAAACGAATGGGGTAAACAGCCAGTCGGCCAACAGCCGGTCGGCCGCCCACCAAGAAGTCGTCGTTTGCACCTGCTGACAACATGAGCTCTCGCATCCGCAGCGACTCTGAGGCCCAGCAAACCGCCTCTTCATTCTTTCACCCCTCACAGATTTTGCATCTTTCGTCTTGTCGTGTTATCTTTTCCTCGCATTCGTTGCGCCCACACTCGTTTTACAGTTTTGGTGAGTTGCTCCGCTGGTAATGCGCATACAAAAATCGTTCCTGCTAACAAGATATCTACTTTACATAGACTTGCGCTTTCAATCGTTTTCCCTCGTCACAACGACATCTATCCAATCTGTACTAGAAGAGGAAACATGGCCGACCGCACCAAGAGCAAAGACTCACTCGTCATTCTCTCTCCCCGTCCAATGCCACCTGATTCTCCCGCAACTGTCTCGATTGAGTCCTTTGCTCCTCATGATCCACACTACATCGGCGTCCCGGATAGCGGCCGTCACGCCTGGCTGGTTGTCATTAGTGGCTTCATCAACTTTACAGCCTCTTTTGGTGCGTTTGACGTGACACGGCTTGTAAAACGGCCAGCTAATACATGAGAAGGCCTCATCAACTCTTTTGGTACCTTTCAATCCGAATATGAGAAATCTCTAGGCTTGCCTGCTTCAACCGCCACTTGGATTGGCAGCGCGCAGGTGCGGATACTGACGGTCCTGGCCAAGCGTAGACTGACACTTTGTAGATGTTTGTTCTTTTCCTTAGTGGTTCTTTTATTGGCCCTGCTTTCGATAAATGGGGTGCTCGTAAGCTCATGCTTTCTGGAACTTTTCTTTGCCTGGCCGCTTTCATCGCCTGCAGCTTTGCAACAGAGTTTTATCAGCTGCTCCTCGCCCAAGGATTACTATTCGGCCTCGGCTGTGCACTATTGTACGCAGTCGAACGCTCAACTCTTTATCAAAAGACTAACAAACTAGATTCTATCCCACTACAAGTGCCGTCTCCGAATGGTTCGACAAGAAACGCGGGTTTGCTCTCGGCCTAGTCGTCTCTGGGGCATCCGCTGGTGGAATTCTTTGGCCCATAGTCTTGAACAAACTGTTTCTTCACATTCGCATTGCCTCGACCCACCGTGTAGCTGCGGCCATCGCTGTACCTTTGATGCTACTTTCCTGCGTCTTTGTCAGAGAACGCAAAGATATTGCCGGACATGACACAGCTGGGAAAGGGGTCAAGGCTTCGCAGACGCCCATTTCCAAGGCAATTGGGGATGTGCGCTTCCTGGGACTAAGCTTTGCACTACTCTTCGTCGACTGTGGAATGATGGTTCCCTTCAACTTCTTGCCCCAGTACGCACAATATCGTGAAATAAATGGTACCATGGCAAACAACTTGCTTGCCATCTCCTACGCCGCTTCGCTGGTCGGCCGCATCTTCACGGGATGGGTTGCAGACCACATTGGCAGGTACGCTACATCAAGCACAACTAAATCTTGAAGCTAACTTGCCAAGGTTCAACATTTTACTACTGGTTTCCACCCTGACAAGTGTTGCCACCTTGTGTTTTGCTTGGGCTGCGACGCTACCCACGCTCGTTGTCGTTTCACTCTTGTTCGGGTTTTCCTCTGGCGGCATTGTTCCTCTGGGCTCTGCTCTAGTTGCGCAGACAACACCAGATATGGGCTACATTGGACTTCGCATCGGGGCCATGATGGCTATTTGCTCAGTAGGCACCCTCGCTGGTGGCCCAGCCGCAGGAGCCATCCAGGACGCGACGCATGACTGGACTAAATTATTTATTTTTTGTGCTTCTGTTACTATGATGGGCATGTTTATGCTGCTTCCACTCAGAATTATATGTTCGAAGCGCATTATATTCTAGCAGAGGTGCTATGATGGGCATTTATGCTGCTTTCTCTCAGAACTATCTGTGCGAAGCGCATTGTAATCTAGCAGTCGATTAGAGCGAGGACAAAGGGCTCGCGGGTGAGGTCTGGTGAGAGAAGTTGTGGGAGTGTGAGCCCGCATGCCCAACTCAGGGCACACTGTAACTCGCAAGGATTGCATTGTTATCAGGGTTGGAAAAAAATCACGGACTAATGTGACGAACCAGTAGATGACCAGTAAACGCCCTACTTTTTGAGTAAGTTGGTTTACTTAAACTCCTTGATTATTTATAAGTTTATAATAAGAATATTTCTAGGGACATGACACTATTTTGCTAGGCATATAGGCCTCATTTTATTTGGTACAGTCAGACATTAGTAGAAGTATCGATTGAATGACGCGCTGCATTTATTATCTTCTAGCTGCCGCCGCCGCTGCCGCCGGGCCTCTCGAGGCCTCGTAACGGTCATTAATTCGCTTAGAATAACGCGATTTCGCCATTTTCAAGGAAGGTGTACGAGAAGGCCAGACAAAGAGCATCTGCGGCCATGGAAGCTATGAAATCCGTTGATTACTTACGGTAGCGGCGGCGGAGTAATGGAGGAGGAAAAAAGAAATTCCCAAGGTTAACCTATAATCATGAGAAAACGCTGAATACTGCCTTTTTATGAATATGATTTAATATTCAATTACACGCGAGGGGGTGAATTGAGTTTTGGCCGCAACTCACCGATCCCTTTGACTTGTCCTGCTGCTTCCTATCACGAAGTACATGACTGTCCGTCGCGCTGAAGCTTGTCCACTCTATTCACGCCAATTCGGAGCCTACAGCGCAAAGTGAGCTTGAAAGCCATGCTACAATTTGGGCAACCAGTTTCTCCTTTTTTTTTTCCGCCGATTTTCTAGAATAATCTTTGCATCGTCTATTGTTCACCGCGCTTTGTGGTTGCTGGTGATATCATTATGTGGAGATGGCTTCTTGGGCCTCCACCAGATCTCCAGATTGTACCCACGGAGGAGACGCTTCGGGTGTAACTTGTGCGAATCTGGCAATTGTCAAACAGGTCTCCGATTCACACTGCGTGGACACTCTAAACGTCAAAATGACGATGTCATTAAAGTGGACGTCAGAAACTGACGTCAGTCACGTTCGAACGGCAGATGTGTACATCATTATAAGAAACGATTCTGCTCCCCGACTTTCACGACCGTCTATCCAGCATCCATCCTTCTATTGACATCACCCCATACAACAATCAATAATAGTACGTTGCATCGTCTCATTCCATTTCCCGCAGTCACTGACGCCACACCAGCACAAAAATTCCTGTCACCATGCCCGAATCCAAGTCTGAGCAAATCGACCGCGTCAAGGCCAATCTGCCTCTGCCAGAAGACCCCCCGCGCGCACCCGACTTCAACTCGGCCGACGCGCGCACCACCAACGCCGGCAGCGGCCGCACGGAAGCCCACCTGGGCACCGAGGACGCTTCGACGGCGGGCCTTCGCGGACCCAACACCAAGAGGAGCGAGAATGTCGACATGTCCAACATTGGGAGGCAGGGCGTCGAGGGCTTGTCACAACCGCCAAAGGACGCAGCTTCGAAATAAAGCCATCTACTAAAAAGACTCCAGCGTCAAATTGGGTACCAGAAAAAATTTGTAAAATAGGGCATCTGGCTTTTGATTTTTTTTTTTCCTAATGTATTACAATATTCGAGATTTGTTTCTCAGTAACTGCTCAACTGGTCAAGTGAATGTTTTTGTGAAGTGAGCTTCTCGTTAGTTATGCCTTGCATGCGACTGGCTGGCTACACCCAAACCGGCCATTCACTTCCCCACCTTCTCCAAGCTCTCAAACATCCACCCTCCTAAAAAGAAAAAAAAAAGGCTTCCCTGCCAATCTACAAACCATCCCCCTTCTAACCTTTCCACCGCCCTTTATATCCTTCATCGACGGGCTACAGCTTCCTTCCTCGCATATTCCTGCCCCGTCGAGGCAGCAAGTCCATGATACCCCTGTTCCGCCGCGCCTTCACCACCACCGCCGCCCGCACCATGGCCGAATCGGCCCCCAAGCGCATCAAGACCGACGGCGCCGCCGCCGCCGGCGTCCTCATCGGCACCCACAGCGGCCACTTTCACGCCGACGAGGCCCTCGCCGTACACATGCTGCGCCAGCTGCCCGCCTACGCCGACGCCTCCCTCGTGCGCACCCGCGACCCCGCTGTCCTCGCGACCTGCCACACCGTCGTCGACGTCGGCGGCGAGTACGACGCCGCCCGCCACCGCTACGACCACCACCAGCGCGGCTTCGCCACCACCTTTCCCGGCCGCCCGACCAAGCTCTCCTCCGCCGGCCTCGTCTTTTTGCACTTTGGTCGCGCCATCATTGCCCGTCGTCTCGCCGCCCTCGAGAACAACAGAAACAACAACAACAACAACAACAACAACAACAACGCTGCTGCTGTTGTTATTGAACCAAAACCCGAGGACAGCCCGCACATTGCCCTGCTGCACGACAAAATCTACGAGAGCTTCGTCGAGGCCCTCGACGCCCACGACAACGGCATCGCCGTGTACGACCCGCAGGCTCTCGCCGCTGCTGGCCTCACCAAGCGCTTCTCCGACGGCGGCTTCGGCCTCGGCGCGCTCGTCGGCCGCCTCAACCCCAACTGGAACGACCCGCCCGCCGCCACCGCCGCCGAGGCCCAGTCCCGCGAGGACGCGCGCTTCGCCGCCGCCAGCGCGCGCATCGGCGAGGAATTCGACCGCGAGGTCGACTACTACGCGTCCGCGTGGCTGCCCGCCCGCGCCGTCGTCCAGGCCGCGTTTTCCCAACGCGCCGCCCACGACGCCGACGGCCGCGTCCTCGTCCTCGAGGGCCAGAGCGTCCCCTGGAAGGACCACCTCTACACGCTCGAGCAGGAAGAGGGCCGCAGCTCCGTGCTGTACGTGCTGTACCAGGAAAAGCCCGAGCCCGGCGCCAAGTGGCGCGTCCAATGCGTGCCCGAGTCCAAGGACTCGTTTGTCAGCCGCAAACCCTTGCCCGAGGCCTGGCGCGGGTTTAGAGATGCCGAGCTGGACGGCATCACTGGCATTGAGGGCTGCGTGTTTGTGCACGCCGCCGGCTTCATCGGCGGGAATGCGACATTTGAGGGTGCCAAGGCCATGGTCGCAAAGGCTCTTGCTGCGTAAGCATGGGGATTCACACTGTCACGAAATGATGTTGGGTATTGCTTTAGTAACTTCGGGTGTGAAATTAGACGTCAAAAAGGGGGGGAAACAAGTCCTGCAATAGAAACAGGCATTCTCGAATTTTGAGAAACGACATCATTTGTCAACTACAACTAGAAACGCATCGACGAAAAAGTACACAGTATTCGATTCTTTCCACAGGCGACCGATTTGGCTTCTCGCGTGATCAACTTCCCATCGTTTCCTCTTACACGAATCTCTCCTTTATTCGTTTCATTTTTCCGCGTTGCTTTCTTCTTCTCATTTCCCAATCATAGAGCCAGCCGACAGTCGCCCAGATAATTGCAAGGGGTGCGGTAGATGAGATGGCGACAGAAAAGAGAGCCTTGCGTCTGACAAAAGAAAATATAAATCAAAAGACCCCCAAAACGAAAGTTTGCTCCAAAGATGAGCTGCTGTTTGAAGCACGCACTCGAATTGCTTGCCAGATGAACCTCGAAAAAACGCCGACATGTTGCAATACAAAGAGAAAAGCTTGGTGAATAACATGTAGAAAGAGAAGTGAATGTGAAGGGTCGTTAAGGAGTCGGGTCCTGAGTACAGAATGAGGGCTTGGTCGGAGTAAGACCTTCATTCCTATACCATGTTCCAAGATCCTTGATACTTGAAAAGGCTGGTTCGCTAGAAGAGCCCGGACTTCACGAGTAATGAGACCGAAATTTGAAAGCGGCCGCATCAGAAGAAGGAGCTGACCCCTCATCTGCGGATTGGGATGCCAGCACCACCAGCTCCGGCAGGCTCTGCCTTGTTCTGCTCGGCGGCGTCGTCGGTCTCGTTGGCCGACGTCTCGCGGTGCAGGAAGCTGCTCTCCTTGACGGGACTTCCGGCCTGGAGGCCCTGAGGCACGGAATTGGCGGCGGCTTGGAGGTTGGCGGCTGCGGTGCCCGCGGGCGCGCTCGCGCCGCCGAAGCCGAGGTGCTTGGGGATGGCGCTGCCGCTGCCGCCGTTGGCGCCAGAGTTGACGGGCGAGGAGAGGTGGGGGATATTCTCGGGAACGGGGTGTTCAGAGCCAACAGCTCCCGTATCGACGCTGTCGCCCTTGCCGGCCTTGGACATGGCATAGTCGCCCGAGTCAAAGTACTTGCGATCCTTGAGGTGCTTGGCAAAGTGGTCGGATCGCGAGGGGAGCTTGCCGTAGAGTCGGAAGAGGCGCTGCTCCTCGGGGGAAAGCGACTGCGTAGGATAAGCGAGTTAATAAAATGTCAAAGGAACGTGATTCGAGTCGGTGATGCTTTGGATGTTTTGGGGTGATTGTCGAGTATTCGTCACACGAGGTGGTCATCGGTGGGGTGAGAGCTGGGCGGTGCAAGCAAACACGTATTCTTACCTTGACGTCAATCTTGTTCTTTTGGAGAAGAGGGTTCATGGCGGCGGTTTAATATGTAGGTCTTTCTGTAACGAGAACAAGGAATCAAAGGTTACAGTTGTTGCTGAAGGGGGAAATGCTGGGTAGCCAGGCAAGTCTGCCGCAGCGATGTAATAAGAGAAAAAAGTCGCTGTCGCAGAAAGCGGGGTCGTGGCACTGCGTCACCGACAAGACGAGCGGCGATTTCTTTGAGTTCGGATCTTCTGGAGCGCGGCGATGGAGAGGACGTGGAAAAATCGGAGAGATGGACGATGGGGAAGTTAGGAGGAGGAAATGGGCGACAGGTGGTGACGAGCGATGGATGAGAGAGGAGCAGGAGAGCCAGGCGTCGGCACAAAGCTTGGCATAGGAGGGGGGGCCGCTAGTACACTTTAGGCGAGCTTTAGGTTAAGTATGGTACACGTGCCACGCACCCTCTTCCCAGGTTCTCATATTGATCCTGTTTATTTAATTCAGAGTTTTATCATATTATAATTAGTTATAACATAAATACTGCCTAGCTTCTTATTATAAAGGTATTTTATATATTTACTTTAAATTTAGAAGAAAATCATGTTGTTTTAGTCTACTGAAATCATCTAGAAAGTAATAAGAACGATATAAAGGCGCTGAAGGGAAAAGAAATACCGAAATACCCCTTAACTAACTAACTTATTGATTTCATAGCGCGGCATGATTGGAACGAAGAACATCGCGTCCTGGCCATCTCTCTTAACTGGATGAACAGGCCCCCATTAGTTATGGCGACGCGCGACCTTCTCGATGGCCCCATTACGCTCTCCGGTGCCACCGCTCGGAGCAGCAACATCTTACACTCTTTGCGCTATCCATCCCTTAAAAGTGCCTTTTACGCGCGCATCGAGAGTCACCGGGCTTTGCTCACCGAGGTCATCGCGCACCACCTCGGCGTCGCGCCATCTGCCGTCGACATTTCCTCGCAAAAGTGGTGGCGCCACGGGTCATTCAATCTTTGCCTTCCAGGTAGCGTGCTACAGCCAGTGCCAGCGGGTGTTCCAAAATATTTCTTCATTCGTTTCCCCCTGCCATACCGCGTAGGCGAGACAACCAGGCCCGGCAATGCTGATGAGAAGCTCGCTTGTGAGGCGGCCACCTATGCCTGGCTGGAGGAGAATTGTCCTACGGTGCCCATCCCGCAACTCTATGGCTTTGGCCTGTCGAACAACCTAAGGGTAATCTAAATCAGCGTATCTTTCGGCCTGCTTGCTAATCCCTATTAAGTACACCAATTGCGAGCTATTGCCATGGTGGTCGCGTTGGTTCCAACATATCCGGCGCGGTCTCCTGTCTAGATTTGGCTTTCAAACGCCAACGCACTACGTCAGTCATATATCTCCCCGCTTCGCCGAACTCGACATAGGCTATTTGATTATCGAGATGATTACACAAGACCAGGGCGAAATGCTCTCTGAATCGTGGGAGGAGTACCACACTGACGCCCAACGGATGGAAAACCTACAACGCGGCCTCGCTAAGATTATGCTATCTTTGGCTAGCATTGAGCTGCCTCGTATTGGCTCGTTTCGACTCGACCGCCACGGCTACCTACGTTTAGACAACCGACCACTTGACGTGCCAACAATTATGCATGAAAATGAAGACCTATCACTCGATCTACCCCGGCAAACCACTTTTTCCACATCCGCAGAGCTCGTCCTATCTCACTTGGACGCTTTCGATAGGCGTCTTCTCAACCAGCCCAACGCCATTGTTAGTGAGGAAGATGCTTGGTACCAAATGACCAGCCTCAGCGGCGCCAGGCTCACGCTCCCACAGCTTCTCTCACGAGACTTCGCCCACGGCCCCTTCGTCCTTGCTCTTACCGATTTAAGCCGTAGTAACGTCTTCGTCGACGCCGACCGGAACATTACGTGCATCATCGATCTTGAATTTGCGTGCGCCTGGCCGGCAGAATTCTGGCAGACGCCGCACTGGCTCGATGCAGATTTCATTGACCAGATTGACTATGATAAACTCACAGCTCGCCATATGCGGTTCATAAGTCTCATGAAAGAAGAGGAGAAGCACGCTCACTATCGAGGGGATAAAGAACCTCTCTCGAGCATTATGCAGACAGCTTGGGAGAGGGGCACGTTTTGGATTAATCTGGCGTTGCGCGATCCAGTGGCCTTTACGACTGTCTTTTATGAGCATATATTACCACGCCACTTTAACTTTCCTGAACATGAGCTCAATGATGGAAATTATTTCGCCTTCTGCTCGCGTTTCTGGTCTCCAAATATACCAGCTATCATTGAGCGCAAGCTGGAGGAAAGAAAGACATATCTAGACAAAGTCAGAAAAGAATTTGCTCCCGCCTGAGATATCCAACTTGGGATAACACAGTTTGTCATTACTTCTTATCAGCCAGTCGCGGGGGGGGGGATTTGGAGGCATCCAAGTCTACTATCCTTGCCTATGCGCCGGTGCATATAAGGCGAAGCCGACTTTAGTGGCGCAATTACTATTTAGGAGACGCTGTTACTGTTTGTCATTCACTGTTTGATTAATCGTATACAAAAACTAGCGAGTGGGAAATGCAATCAAACAATAGTACAGGACGTCAAAGTAGCTTCAAGCGGATGCATTGTGCGTCCACATAATAAATTTATGCAATCAATCAAGGCAAAGGTATGCAGACCTGTAACCAGTGCTGGCGCGAAAAAAAATTAATGTTTGCATATGGCAGGCGAGAGTGTGGTAGTTACTCCGCCGGCTACTGCGATATCGCAAGCGGGGTATGCATGTATCGAGAACTATCCCTTCAGCGAGGTTGCCGAAGTCACCTGGCGCAGGTTGTATGTCCAACCAGCAATGACAGCACAGGCGACGCGCAAATAGCAGGGAACAGGGGCAATGAGTCTGACGGCAAAGCTTTGTTGCTTTGAAAATGCATGCATAATACTGGTCTCTTGTCTGAGTCAATTGTCTATCTTCACTCTTCAGGTGTCCCGCTGCATAAACAATACCTACCAACCTACCAGCCACTCGTGTCACTGTATGGAAATATTGCGTGGGATTAAAGTAATAACCTTGTATAATAGGGATACAGCCACTCACAGTCGCTACTGGCTCGGCCCGTCGTTTCAATCGCTGGTCATTGATTCCTGTATTTCAAATCATGTCGATATGCACTGCTGGTCCGACTTCAGCATCCCACATGTCGACCAAGCTCGGACAGCCCAGGAGCCATTGCTTTCCAAGCCCTCAATGATTTTTTCCGCTTACGTATAGCGGCCGCCGCCCCGGAAGTCAGCCAGGGCGGCGCAGCTGAACCTATTTACGCCCTTGGTACGGAGTACCATGTAAGCAAGCAACAACCCTGTCTTGCAGCTTGCATTTGTAAAGCACAAAGCAAAAACAGAGGTCCGCAGAGTCATCAGCGTGCCGCGCGCTCGACGATCCAAAGGGCACAGGTACAAGTCCGCAGGTCTGTCATCTCGCTGTTCATCAAGGCGCGCGCCCGACAGGCCGGTATCCATCATCGTCGCCGCTACAGGTTTGACAGTCGGCGCTGGTGTTCGTCGGCCCGGTCACATGATGTTCTGCTCAGACTGAGTTTGTCGTCACTGGTTTTTCTTTGCGAAACCTTAATCTCCATATCGGCCCATCAGTTGAAATAATGGTAAGAAGTAGTCTCGGCTAGATGTGTCGCTCACTTCCTGCTGCATGGTGGATGAAACACCCTGTCTGGGAGAAAGAGACATGTAGCCAAAATCCTTGAGTTTATTCCCCGCGTCATTGGATTTCTAAGCATCGTATGAAATTAGAGAAGAAAAAAAAAAGTCCGCTGTTACTTTGGAGGGGGCCGGGGCCATCGCCCCCACCACTTTTTTCGCTGCAAATTTGAGCTCGCTCAGCTGCAAAAAAACTGCTAGTGTCTTGGATGTATTTTTCTGGAGAGCCTTTTCAGTCTTGATTGACCTTGTCTCGTCTCGTAAATCAGGGGATTGGTACGCTGGCTATTGGAAGCATTAACAAAGTCGTCGACAATGGTTGTTTGAAAAGTGTCGTTGAAGAAAACAAACGACCTGCCAACGGCCAAGCGCCAATCAATTCATCGTTGTCGCCGGCCCGTCGCCAGCTGCCCACCAAAACCCGTTGCCGCCTGCACCAGACGGCCGGCCCGGGCATATTCAAAAATCGTCCATCTCCGCCCACCACGGCTTGCCCTTAGCCTCTGCTTCTGCGATTTCCGGCTTTGAAGTCGCGTTTACCTTGATGTGATTGGGCTGCGCCGCTGTTTTTTTTTTTTATTTCTTTTCTTCTACAGCTGGTACGTCGTGCCTCGATCCGTCACACTGCAGCCGGGCCTGTCCGCCACAGGTTGCGTCATATATACGGCGGGTTGCGTGTAGCTTTGCCTGCCCTACCGCCTCTCTGCGTTCTCCAACCTCACTCGGCTTCCCTCTATCGCCATAATGGGCTTACTGTAAGTTGCCATACTATTGATTTGGTTTTACTGTTGACGCCACCCTGCTTTGGACTCTTTACTGACTCTCCGAGACAGTGCGCTGGGAACGGCGCTCGAGTGGCCCGAGGCCAAGAAACGCGCTGATCAGGTCCGCGAATGGGGCATCAAGGTAAAGTAGCATATGCTTCGCCCTTTGCTTTTATAACTGACACGACTCGTAGCAATTGCTCGAAATCTGGAACAAGGCCAAGGGCAAGGAACGCGATGCCTTGCTCTGGGGGGATGAGGTAAGCGATCAGCGCAAGGCTCAGCACATGAGCAACCAGCAAACTGATCATCTCATAGGTCGAATACCTAGTTGTCAACTACATCAAAGACAATGAGAAGGTTTATCTATCTCTTCGCCAGGCCGAGATTCTCAAGGCCCTCGCTGCAGACAAGGACCTTGCCAAAAATGGTGGCTGTGTGCCGGAGCTGCAAGACACGGACAGTCAAAGGTTCGACCGGCCTATCTTTTTGATGCGATTCTCCAAGGCTAACAGCTCCCTTCAAACCAGCACGCTGCCTGTTTTCCACCCAGAGTTTGGCCGCTTCATGCTCGAAGCCACCCCAGGCAAGCCATGGGGCATTGGCTTCAAAGAGCTTCTCGGCGTCGAGCCTGACATGAAGCTGCGTCGGAAAATTGCCAAGGAGCATATGCTTGCTTCCGAATACCCCATCACACTCACCACCTATCCCCGTATTGGCGCTCCGGGGCAATTCACTGACCCCTACTACCCTCCCTCTGGCGACAAGCTGCGGTCTCAGTTTGTTCCTGACGAGATCGCCAACCCCCATATCCGTTTTCCCACGCTGGCCGCCAATATTCGCTCCCGAAGAGGCCGCAAAGTTCAAGTCAATGTGCCCATCTTTCATGACAAGAATACGCCCAACCCCTGGAAGGATCCCACTGTCAATTATGACCTGCATAAATTCCCGGAGGATGATGACGTGCGCAACGGCGCCGCGCCGGACGACTTTATCCACATGGACGCCATGGCCTTTGGTATGGGCAGCTGCTGCCTGCAAATTACATTCCAGGCCAAGAATATCAACGAGGGTCGTACTCTATATGATCAACTAAGCCCATTAGGCCCCATCATGCTTGCTTTGACGGCAGCAACACCCATATACAAGGGTTTTCTCGCCGGCACGGACGTGAGATGGAATCAGATCAGCAGAGCTGTCGATTGCAGAACACCTGAGGAGCTGGGAGAGAAGCCGCTCAAGAATGACCGCTGGAGGATTCCCAAGTCACGATACGCTTCGAATTCTACTTACATTTCTCTGGATCACAGACTACGACAAGAGTACATGGATCCGGATCTCGTAATTGACCCAAAGATCAAGGCAGAGCTCATCGACGGCGGCATGGACGACCGACTTGCCACACACTTTGCTCACTTATTCATTCGCGACCCTATCGTCATCTTCGAGGAGGATTTGCAGGAGCTTGACCTCACCAAGACTGACCACTTTGAGAACATTCAGTCAACCAACTGGCAGCACATGCGCTTCAAGCCCCCGCCCGCAGAAAATAACATTGGATGGCGTGTCGAGTTTCGTTCCATGGAGATTCAAGTTACCGACTTCGAGAACGCCGCCTTTTCCGTCTTCATGGTGCTCCTCACCCGCGCCATCCTTTCCTTTGATCTCAACTTTTACATTCCCATCAAAAAAGTCGACGAGAACATGGAGCGCGCGCACAACCTCGACGCCGTCCTACACGACAAGTTTTACTTCCGCAAAAACGTGTTTCCTAGTCGGCCGTCGCGTGCCAACACCGTCTTTGGCGACGACAATAACACCAACACTAACGGCAACACCAACAGCAGCCGCCCAGGCTCCCGCTACCCCAGCCGCCCGAGCTCCCCCGGCGACAGCCCCGTTGACCTCGAGTATGCGGAGATGAGTATCGACGAAATCATCAACGGCTCCGCCGACGGTGCGTTCCCCGGGCTGGTGCCCATTGTCGAGAGCTACCTCGACAGCGTCAACGTCGACGTCGAGACGCGCTGCGAGCTCGCCACCTACCTGAGCCTCATCAGCAAGCGCGCAAGCGGCGAGCTCGACACAGCCGCCCGCTGGATCCGCAACTTTGTCGCCGCTCACCCGGCCTACCGTCAGGACAGCGTCGTCGGCGACGACATCAACCACGACCTCATCGGCGCCGTCATTGAGCTCTGCGAGCGCGAGGCCGCCGGTCGCGACTTTGCCGGGCTCGGCATCCCGGGCCTTCCCAGGCTCTTGGGCAAATTTCGCGGTGGGTGCGGCTCCGAGGCGGAGGAGAATGGTGAGGCGAATGGCGAGGTGAATGGTGCTGCACCGGCGGGGGATGAGGCAGTGATTCCGTCGACTGAAGCTGAGTCGCCGTTTAAGAAGCGGAGACTGGCTTGAAGAAGCAAGGAAAACTCAAGAATTGGTTTAGAGCGGTTTGACATTTCGAAGGGTGTGGATTCCCTCCTAATTTCATCCATGTTGTTAACACTTTCCTCTAGTTTGGGTCTCGTGGGGCAATATGCATTTTACATTACATGCTGCATAATAACTATACACAACGGTGTAAATCATAAAGCAGTGTCTCTTTCTGGATAAGTACATAAAATCTCAACATGGCTTTATTACGACCGCATAGTGTCTGAATTCGACTGTATTCTGATTAGTTAGAGCAATAAATGATGCTAAACTCGGGCCGACAGGGTAGTTCAACGGTTACGCGATGGTGATGTCAAGAGTTGGTGGGGCGGAGCACGCAACTGCCAGGCACCAGCTTAGGCTAAAGTGCTGTGACGGACGGCCGGCAACTTGCCATCAACAGACACCATCTATCCTGGGTCTAATCACAAAGACATAATCCCATCTTCTGCATCGCTCTGCGCCTCGAAAACAGGACATGACGCGAATTTCGGTCTATTCTGCGGCCTTGGTTGCCTTTGTGGCTTGTACGTATGCCCCAGAATACACATCGCGATTCCGTGACACGCATCGTCTTCTACAGCGTAGCGACCTGCTAACCTAGTCGAATAATCAACAGCCGCCGCCATGGTTGTCGCCTCCATCGCCATGCCCAACTGGATCGACTACGCGGTGACGACGGCCAAGGGCGACACCATCCGCAAAACCATCGGCCTGCATCGGACCTGCTCGACGCTCGACGGCTACCGCTGCGGCCCGTTCCCGACCCGGGCGCTCTGCCAGTCGGAACAGCGCTACTTTTGCACCCTATGGCGCAGTACGGGCTGGCTGGCGTCCTTTTCCGTCGTCCTTGGCCTCGCGGGCTTCGTGGCGTTTGGCGCCACTCTCGGCGGCGGCAAGTACAAGCGCGAGAGCGGCTGGCCGTTTGTCGCGGGCCTGATTGCGGTGTTTGCAGCGGTACAGCTAGTTGTGATTTCCGTCGTGGTGAGTTGAGCTGTTCCGCAGACCCCCCCCAGCTTGCTGTTTCGAAATGTGAGACAGGGTTTTGGCTAATGAGATCGGGACGCGCAGGCATATCTGTTCGACCACGATGATCAGTTCTCGATCCCAGGATGGCACATTGGCACCTCGTGGTACTTGGCGCTGGCTAGTGCGCTGCTGGGCATCGTCACGGTGGTGGGTTTGGTGTTGAGTGCGTACTTGCTGCCTTCAGAGGACGGCTACGAGTTCCTGGATGAACCCGCAGATGCATGATTCTACACGGCGACCGTGGAGGTACTATTACTTACGACTATTTCACGACTGTATATCCCGGAAATCGGAGTTTGGCAGGCTTTTATGATACATCTCTGGTAGATGAGATTGGCACCATCAGCGCGTGGCTGGAAATACAACGGCGAATGGGTGGCTTGAACAAGGGCTGTGATTTATCAATTTACATCAATATCTAATAATCTATATCCTGCAAATATCTCTGTCCAGATCTCGTGTCAGTTATTACGCAAGGTGGGGGTGCACTTCCCCGCGGCCGGTCACTTCCGACGAACATCTTCTCCACAGCTTCACTGATAGTCTGATACCTAGATCCTATCAAACAGCCCTTATTACACCATCCGCATTTGCCAACCTGTCCACTTATTTTCAACTTCATTTCTAGATCAAGCGTCGCCCATCACACCAGAATCTACCGTGATAAATGATGACGGCCGCGTCGCCTGACCATCCTCTCGGCCTCTCGGCCGATCAGGTCGCCAAGTTCCACACCGACGGCTACCTCATCATCCCCGGCGCCATCCTGCCGTCCACCACCGCGGCGCTCCTCAACGAGACGCACAAGATGCTCGCCGAGTTCCCCATTGAGACGCACCCGCTGACGCGCTTCACCACCGGCGGAGCCGACGACGCGGAGCACGTGGGCGACGCCTACTTTCTCGAGTCGGGCGACAAGATTCGCTTCTTCTTCGAGGAGGACGCCTTTGATGCCGCGGGCACCCTCATCAAGCCCAAGGAAAAGGCCATCAACAAGATTGGGCACTACCTGCACGGGCTCAGCGCGCCGTTTGCCGCGCTCATCGACGACGATGCCTGCCGCGGCAGCGGTTGCCTCGCCGCCGGCGAGGAGATTTCACATCAGCCCGTCAGCCCCGCGGCGATTGCGCGCAGCCTCGGCTTCCGCGACCCGCGGTGCCTGCAGAGTATGGTCATCTGCAAGCAGCCCGAGATTGGCGGCGCCGTGCCGCCGCACCAGGACTCGACCTTTTTGTACACGAACCCCCCTTCGGCCGTCGGCTTCTGGTACGCGCTCCAGGACGCCACGCTCGAGAATGGCTGCCTGAGCTTCCTGCCCGGCTCGCACCGCTGGGCGCCGGTCGAGCGGCGTCTGGTGCGGCGGGCTAACGACGGCGGCCAGGGCACCGAGATGGTGGACAATGATGGACCGCGGTTCCCCGAGGGGGAGGGGTACGACGCCGCGGGCGCGCCGGCCGGCGGCCCGCGCGACGACATGTATGTGCCGGGCGAGGTGCGCGCGGGGGACCTGGTGCTCATCCACGGCAACCTGCTGCACAAGAGCGAGAGGAACACGAGCGCCAGGAGCAGAATCATCTACACGTTTCACATCATCGAGGGGCAGGACAGAGAGTACGATGAGCGGAACTGGCTGCAGCCGCCAAAGGAGGGCTTCACCAAGCTGTATAAGTGAGTGTAGCTTTATTGTCGACAGATGCATGGCGAATTATGGATAAGTGTGTAAATATGAAGCAACGTTGAAAATCAGGGTATATCGGGTTCTATCGGTATCAAGTAAGCCACATCTATCTTGTCCGTCTATATGCCAGGTCTAACCGTCGCTAAAGAGTCACACCACATGTAAACAGTCAAATACAAAACCAACTTTTCCTCGTCCGTGATTGAGATCTTGATGAAACAGAATTCAAAACTTTTGTCTATGCCCACAAAATGAAATCTACTTGGCTGTCTTGTCTCCCTTGATTGAAGTCGCATCAGCCTCGTCATCAGAGTCCTCATCGTCAGAGTCATCGTCAGACGAAGACGACGAGCTACTAGACGAGTCGTCATCTTGATCCATGTTCTCATCGTCACCCTCGTCCTCTGAGCTGCTGTCGTCGCTACCGCTGCTGCTCGTGTCAGAATCGGTACCTGCATCCGACTCCGAATCCGCATCGTCGTCAGTATCGTCGTCGCTGCTGCTGTCGCTGCTGCTGCTGCTATCGCTGACGTCCACATTGGTGCGCAGCTTACGGCGACGCTTGCTCGTAACACCATTCGTCTTCATGCCGGCGCCAACATCGGCAGACCTGCTGGGGACCGCAACGCTGGTGGTGCTGGCGTCAGTCTCGTCACCGTCAGACAGCGTCGCAATAACCATTTCCGCACGCATGCGCTTGACGAGCCGTCGAATGATGACGTCTGCGTCCTGCGCCGTCGTCACATAGTCAATCTCCGCAAAGGTTCTCTTCTTGCTGGCCGCCTTTTGCTGCGCCTCCAGAAAGCCAGCGAGGGCCGCCTCGTACATGCCCTGCTTGCCGTCGGGGTCAGCAGTGCCTTCGGGGAAGGCGCCCGCGCGGTCGGTGTTGTCTTTGAGGCGAATCGCCAGCGCCGTCTCTCGCAGTCTCATCCTGACGGCACCCTTGATGTCATCTATGTAGTCGTAGAATGAGCCAACGTCGGCCGGCGGGATGCCGCTTTCAAAGACGGCCTTGATGAGGGTCGACTGGTGGTTCTTGTTGAACTTCCAGCTATCGCGCGACGACACCCACTGCCTCAGGTACTCGAGCGCGGGCCTGGTGTCGGCTGTGGGCTGCGGCTTTTTTTGCTTCTTGGGTGTCAGGCCTTTGCTGCCTTTGCCGGCTGCTTTGGGGATGGGTTTCGCGGGCGTCTTTCGCGCCGTGGTCGAGCCTGGGGCGGCAGTCTTGTTGGTGGGCGTGTCGGCGAAGGCGACGGACTTCTTTCGTGTGAGCTGTGGCGTGGCATCTCCTGTTGATGTTCGGGAAAAGTCTCTGCGAGGCTTTTTTGCAGAAAGGGGTGAGGAATAATCTGACGCAGCACTGGTTGTGTGCAGCTTTCTCTTGCCCTGCATGCTGCCCTGCTGGGCACGGTCTGGCTGCCCAACGGCCGGGGTATTGTTTGCGCTCTCATTTGCGCTGGAGTGCTTCAGCTTGAGGCCCAACTTCTTCCAAGCCGGCGTGACCGCAGTGCCGTCTGCTGAGCCGCTCATTTTGAGTTATTTTCTGAGTGCTTAATCTCAAGCTTCGACGGTTTTTCGTTGTCGCGCGAAAGCAATGTTTTCGTGGTTTGGGTCGTAATGTTTTTTTTTTCTGGAGCTCCCACACTAACAACTGCAGTGAGACTGAACAGCAGACTTGACGCTTTCGCAGGTGGGATAGTAAAATCCAGAGTAGAAATGAATGAACAGGTATGATTCTGAGGCCGTATGAGTCGGACAACAACAATAACAACGTCTGAAAATAATTCGACAAAGGCAGGCCCGCGATAGGTAGCTGTCACACGAACCGCCCACTAGCCGCTGTCAGGGACTTGCTTGGCAACGCTTTGCACCAAAAAGAGTTTCTGCCTCAGGACTAAACCCCATCTCTCTCAGGCAGCCACCAATCAGCGCCAGCAGAGCTCCATCATTGCGTTGCGGATTCTAGGCAAGCTGGTGCTAACGCGTCCATTGAGCTTCATCACTTGCGATCGGCTGCCGCAACACAACATCACCAACCTCCATCTGATCATCGTCATTGATCCATAACCTGCACTGCTCTCTGCACATACACACATAGCCGATAACGCCCAATTTCGGGCCTGCAATTCGCCACAATGTCTGGTTCGTTGCGAGCAAACCGAACTCGCAAGAGTTGCTGCTGCCATTTCGAAATGCTGACTTCTGCTCTGTAGCCAGCGCATATGACAGACACATTACTATTTTCGCCGACAATGGCCGTCTCTACCAAGTCGGTACGTTGAACGACTGGCGCGATACGATACGCCGCCATGCGCAAGCTGCCCCCCGAGACGCTTAAAGCTAACTCCCACAACAGAGTACGCCTTCAAGGCCATCACAGCCGCGAACATCATGTCTGTAGGCATTCGCGGAAAGGATTGCGCTGTCGTTTTGTCGCAGAAGAAGGTTCCCGTAGGTCTCGGCATCGCTTTGCGAGCTCACATGAAGCTGACAACCTGTCCAGGATAAGCTGATCGACCCTGCTTCCGTCTCTCACATCTTCAAAATCTCGCCCGGTGTTGGCTGTGTCATTACTGGATCCATCGCCGATGCTAGAGCCTTTGCGCAAAGAGCGCAGGGCGAGGCTGCCGAGTTCCGATACAAGTACGGCTATGAGATGCCCGCCGATGCCCTAGCCAAGCGTCTTGCCAACATTAGCCAGGTTTATACGCAAAGAGTATGTGCAGCTGCAGAGTGCCACGGCTAGTCAACCATGCTGACAGTACAATCAGGCTTACATGAGGCCGTATGGTGTCGCCACAACCATCATCTCCCTCGATTCCGAGTACGGCCCCCAGCTGTTCAAGTGCGATCCGGCGGGTTATTATATTGGATACAAGGGCACTGCCGCAGGTCCTAAGCAACAGGAGGCCCTGAATCACCTCGAGAAGAAGCTTCGCAACAAGGACTGCGCCGAAGGCAACTGGGAGGAGGTTGTTGAACAGGCTATTACGACTCTGGGAACGGTGCTGAGCATGGACTTCAAGAAGGGCGAGATTGAGATTGGCATTGTTGGTGGCCCGCGCGCTGACGGCAAGGAGGGCACGGATCCCGGCTTCCGTCTGCTTACCGAAGAGGAGATTGACGACCGTTTACAAGCTATCGCTGAGAAAGATTAAGCTCATCTCGCGTCCGGACAGCTTAACCTTGTTTTACTAGCCCATAGAGCTTGTGTAATACAATACCATTGAAATCATATAAGACTCATTCTGTCAACAATCAGCTTTATTCGATTGTTATGCCAGTGAAACTGATGTAATATAAGACACATCAAGACCAAACTATATTGGCAGCTACTGACGGTGACGCGCTAACTATTCTGACTTTTACCGACGCACCGTAAATTGAAACAAGGGTGCGTTCTATACAATGCAAGACGCATGAAGAACGTCATCCTAAAATTTCCAATCATTTCGCTTCGATACAAGATTGGCATGCTGCCAAGAGCGCCATGCCGGCGTGGAGCCTGAGCAGCAACTACTTGGTAAGGCAGTGAGTGAGTGAGTGGCTTGTGGCTTACGCAGTTGCAGGCACGATCTTCCTGCCGCACTGCAGCCAACCGGTGGCCGAAGCTGCCGAGATCATGCATGCAGACGAATATGAGAATATTTTGATGAAAAGGGGGGGGTGGTGAATTAAAAAGTCCCCCCTAGAGATGAATAACAACCTGGCCTTAGTGCCAACGGTCAAAGTTTATTTCTCGTATTGCCCACGCAGGTGCCTCAAAGACATCATGGCCACCCCCTCTACATGCAGAATCATCCGAGTACCGGGCTCCCGGGATCAGAGACGGGGCACGGATGTGGCCCTGTGGACACCGGTACTTTCGGTCTCCCACTGAGCCCTACTGGGGTTACGGATGGCCGATACGGCTATCGGCATCTGATTCGTCTATTCCTTTTCCATGTCAAAAGTTTAATAGTAAGTGGGATGGCCAAATTGCCATCACCCTGCATGGAAGAAGTGGCATTGGTAGCCGTGAAGCACCTTTGCCACGGATACACTACCCTGTCTCTGGATATTAAGCATCAGTTTGAGCGGAGGATGCCGCATGAGAGTATAGAGAGCTTTTGCCTCACCCCTAGTACTATGAGTAGAATTCGTGCCTTCTAGTTCTATATGAGGTCGGCACACCTGTACATGGCTGCCAAGACCATCGCAGCACTGCACGTCTGGCTTGCATGACCGGACACAGCGAATCACGTAATAGATTACATGAGTATTCATCGATGTGTGGAGACTAGGCCGAGAGGCTTCCCACTCAAGATGGTTTGGTGATATCACAAGCGAGGTCAATAGGCGGGACAGAGTCGACTAGGCCACTTTGTTACACAGGTAGGCCGCTTCTCGATGTGTTGGCGCAAGCAGCAAGGGGTGGCTTGTCGGATGTGTCCGAGCGCATCTATCCTGAGCAAAACGGGCTGGCGCAGCAAACGGGTTTTGTAGGTGCTGTTTTGAATATCATTCGCGCGCAACGTTGCCGCCTAGACATTTCGTTGTCACTTGATGAAGCCAGCGCAAGAGAATGTCTCGGAAAAAGGTTCTTTAGTTCGAAGATGATGAAAAGTTAAGTTCAAAATATCACGGTCTGCTCGTATACGGCGTCAATTTCTACCATGTCGTACTGGTTGGAACGTGTTAAAGTGATAGCTCAGTTCACACCAGCAAGTAACATTGCATGAAGAGTCATCGAGGGAAAGAGTGCATAAACGTGACTTATCTGACTCAGTTCAATGGAGTTGTACCCACAGGCTTTGCATTGTTGCCATCTTTGCAGGTCGCCAGTTACTGTATAGCTCGAAGAAACTCCAGGTTGGTCCTAGCATGCGTGTAAGTGGTGTCTGCTTTCTACGGATAAGAATATGTCACATATATGCAAAACCATCTAGTTACATCACCTAAAGCGATACTCCTTAAGAAACAAAATGATAGAAATTTCCGATTTCCCTCGTGGCAGCATCGCTGCGAGCAGAGCCAAAACGAATACCCTTGCAGAATGGCGCACTAAGCGCATTCGCACTGTGATTGGCTCCGGCCGACGTTCAGAGGCTGCCTGAATCCCCCCCCGCTTTGTTCCTCTTTAGGTAAAGTTCTTAAACCACTTCAGGGCCTAAAAAGGAGCGGGTCCCCTGGAGCCCCATCTCTCGGGCGTCGGGGAAAATGCGCGCCGCCCCAAACGAACGTCTCCCCATCCTCGTTGCAACTTTGTCTTTCAAATCTACAAGTTGCGACGCGACGTTGATCTGTGGCTTTTCGTTCTTTTTGTCTCTACCTAGCCTCGATTCTTTTGGGCCTATCCCACTCCTTCATTCGTCAAGCTGGATGCAAGCCCTTTTTAAGTCTCCTTTTCCCAACCCGCCGCTTTGAACCCCGCGCCGCACATCGATCCGTTCCGCTGCCCATCGCGCAAGGTTAGCGGGAGCGAGCCTTGTTTGGCTGGTGCTGTGCTCTATATCAATCAGAGGGCCGATTTCGGTAGCCGATCACACCAACCCTTTCCGCATCTCTGGGATCGACCCCTTTTATTGCAAAACACGAAGAGAAGCCCGGAGCTAATCTCCTCAGTTGAGGATCTCTGTTTACATTTTTCTCGTCGGACGCCCCCAGCCAGTTGTCCAGTCGCGTCTGAAAAGAACAATCGCGGCTCATCCCTTTTCTAATCCTTGCTGTGGGTGCTGCAATCTAGACATTCGACCGCTTTCGGATTTCGGCCTGGCTCGACCCGTTGCAATGGAGTCTCCGTCGCCGCCGCAAGACAAGCCTCCCGTCTTCAACTATGTACTTAGCTTCCTGCTGGTAGGCATCGCGTGGGGCGGTACCACTCCATTCATTCGGAAGGCGGCCAAGTCGCATAAGCCGCCGCAGCACCAGATTCTCAATGATCCAGCTGTCCAGGCCAGTTGGCTGCGCTCCAAGCTCTATGGGGCCTTCTTCTCCGTCGTTGATTTGCTACGGAACCCGCGGTACGCAGTTCCGCTACTGCTCAATCTCACAGGCAGTGTGTGGTTCTTCTTGCTTATTGGTCAAGCGGGTACGTTTCTGCAGCTTTCCCTATTTTGCGCTCGAGACATGGCTTACCCGCCTGTGTCACCGGAGTACAAATTTTTTTTTTTTTTGCTGTAATTCCGTTTGGGAAATTAGACCCAAGACACACCATCACGAATAGCCTGAGCATATGCTAACACAACTCGGACTCCTTTAGAGCTGAGTCTTACAGTACCCATCGTAAACACAATGGCGTTTCTCTTTACAGTTCTCGGCGAATGGTTGGTTGAGGGTAAAGTCATCAGTCGAGGTAAGGTAACGAATCTTGGGCTCCAAGGAGCCTAACCGTTCCTCTGCTGCCACCATTCCCCCTCTAGTATTCTTTGCTAAAGGCAGACTTACCGATAATCTCGGTTATTTGCCTTTGACAGTTAGGATCTATGCTAACCATAATGCAGACACTGGCGCCGGAATGCTCTTTTCTCTGGTTGGCATTGGTCTGTGTGTATACAGCAAGACATAGTTGATCTTAAATTGCTTCTGTAGCCAGCCGCGGACCTTGGTGAACCGAAATCTCTCGCTACAAGTGTAAATTACAGACAAGAAACAAAGAATTCTACGAGGTATGCCAAGACGTGAAACAAAGAATCAGTACAATGCAACCTGGTATAGATAAGCAACCCGTGACTCCTGGCTATGCGCATCAGAAAGTCAAAATCGCTCTGGACAATGAATCTCTGCTGGTAATCTATACCAACTCCACCCCTTGTGACAGCCCCTTGTGACAGCAACACAAGGCCGTCCTTTTCCATTGCCTGGCCGGGCCGTCCCGGCCACGTTGCCAGCCGTGTCTCGGTACGTACTTTGGATGGACCTTTCCGCTGTCTAATCCTTTGCGGCCTGCCGCAATGGACACCATATGGGCATTTCCAGTTTTGGGGTATGTAAACATTGGCCATCTGTCCAGCGGACCACCCAAAAGTATGAGGAACCATCCTTGGCGGCACACTCTCCGAGTGCACGCCGGCTAAGTGACAGTCCCTCGAGAAAAAGAAACAATATAATCCGTTGTCAACCCCCCCAACAGAGGGAGACCCTCTAACATCTCCCTTGCCTTGACCTCGCCGGAAATGATGCCATTCTCACTCTCGAATCTTCCATAGCCCCCAAGAAATCCTAGAAAGTCGACTTTTCTGGCGTTATTTCGGTCGTGATCGGATCCTAATCTCTCTAGTGCAATTCTCGTCGTCAAATGTTTCGGTTCAACTTGAAGCCGGCTTCAATGTATGTGCGGATGATCGGAATGCGCTTCGTGGATCCCAATCTTTCGCCCCCGGGTGGAACGAGTTTAGGAGCGGGTACTCAACCAGTTGAGAAGGTCGTATAGGCCAGGGTCCTCAACCGTCCAACGACCAAGTCTCTGGTCACCGCTCAACATGTCCAAGTAGACAAACTCGTCTGTAATCTGTTGCACCTCCTGTAAATTGTGAGCAAATCTGACGTATGCATCACGTGTCATCATGCGGGCATGTTGCTCTCTAGTCTTTGAAGACTCCACTGCATGAAGGTAAGAGGGGCTTTCGTACCTGCTGCAGCTGAACATCGCAAGTGTGTAAATGCGCCTCATTCGACTGAGGGAAATATCCGGCGGAATCGAGTATTTGCTTTCGGGCCCTTGTACATCGTTGAGCTGCCATTTGACGTAGGTAGATTTTCTGGGCTTCGTGTCGACGAGCGTACGCATCGAGCAAAACACTACACAAAGCGGGGACTTGGGTCAGTCTACAAGGTATAGGTGGAAACGTTGGGAGCGAATGAATGACGTACTGTTGCAGCTCGAGTTTCTTTTGCTCGTGCTCGTTTCGACCAACTGGTAAAGACACATCGGCAGAACAGTCGAGAATAAACTTTGCGTCTGCCAGGCATTGACGCAACATGTTCCATGCTGGTGTGTAGTACTCTGTTTGACTGGGGCAATTGGTGTTGGCGGACGTGATGCGATATTGGAGATCTCGAAAGTCTGAAAGAACTTCCGCGACTCGGGTGATGCGATATTCGTTTACTGCGAAACAGGGCAGTGCGTCAACATGGGTTCAAAACTGAATAAACAGTCTTTTTCTTGAGAGAGGTGACTTACAGTCTCCCATGTCGAGACAGGCGTCGACCAGATTGGAACAGGTTGAGTTGGACCAATTTACGCCAGTCAAGACAGTCGGAACGAGGACCTGGTGGCTATTCATGTGGAGTATCTGGGGTGGGATGATGATGAGAGGATTGGAGGAATTGAGAACAGAGGTCGAGGACGAGGAGCTCCTAATATACTTTGAAGATGAATTGGAAAGCAAAAACAAAAAAAAAAAAGTTGTTGAAAAGGGATGTCGAGAACAAAAGTTGCAGTCGTATAGGCAGGAGGAACTTGTCTGCAGCGGAGACAAAGCTACAGCTGCGCAACCTCGAATGAAGCTACCCAGCTACCCAATTGCTCAAATCTGAGACAGTACAAGGTCCGAATGTCACCACCAGAGCAAATCTGACATGATGTATAGAGAGAATATCTTGAGCAAATGACAAGGCGAGATGAAGCCAGACGGGAAACTACATGTGTACAAGGGGCGCATCGACCTTGATAAAAGAGAGCTATGTACACGACCGCAGAGGCTCTGCTCCGCTTTGCTGGATGGAGCCAGGGCCTGGCTGGGGTGTTGACGCAAGAAACAATTAAGGCTCTTTTTTTGGAGGGGGGGTGTGCGGTGTGCGTTGTAGGCACGGGCTGAGGAGGAGGGTAGGAGGGGGGGGGAAGGGATTGGACCTGGACAAGGGCGTTTTGCGTATAACGGGGGTAGTATGATTGGCGAGAAGGACCCGGAGTAAGCTTGGGATAACAAGTTGAAAGAGCAACTACGAATACATACCTACATACATTGATCCATGAAATATGGTCCATTGGGGGGGAGGGGATGTAGGCACGCCGGGAGTTGCAGTTCCACATGGCTGGGTGGACATACGCAAGGTATTTGAGGATACTGGGCGTTGTGCATGCATGCAAGCCCTGTGATGTTGCGGCCACTTGGGTAAACAGCCTCTTGATTGGTTGTAAATTTGTATACTTGTTCATTTTTTGTTTCGTTATAAAAAGAAAAAAATCGTCATTTTTTTTTGAATCAGCAGCGACGACCGATCCACTGATCAAGACAACATGTCCCGTAGACGAAATGTGGCGTCGTCGTTGCAGCTCCACCGCCATGCGCCGTCGTTCGGGTGCTCCGTCACCACACCACACACAAGCCTCTCGCTTCATTATCAGTATGCATGTACCTTGCAGAGATTCTCTCGGCGGTACATCCTAGTTTTTACCGTTTCTGTCGTCATTTTATTCCCGAGATGCGGACTTTTTTTTTGTTTTCTTTTCTTTTTTTTTTGTTTCTAAATTCTCCGCTCGATCTACTCTATAAAATAGATGTTTACCGGACATCTCTAGACGGCGGCGCGGCCGAACACGTATTGCAGGCTGTAATATACCCTTTTGTTTCCCGGCCCCGGTGGTGCCGTTTTGCATAGCAGGCAGCAATACGTATTACTTGGTCTCATAGGCGGAGGGAGAAACAAATTTAGAGAGTTATTATATTTAAACTAAGGAGCAGATCAGCCGGCAGCCATAATCAGTATGGGTTTGCTAACGGCGATGGCTGTAAGAAAAAAAAGTAAAAAGAAAAAAAAAAAAAATGAAAAAAAAAAAAATAAAATAAAACAAAAGAAGAAGAAAGAAATAATTAAATAAAAAGAGATAAAATCAAGAAAAGAAAAGAAACATATTCTCGAGTAACTTGGTCCTACCTGATGCGTTTCCAGCCCTGCAACGGTGCGCCATCCCAATGACGTTGCGAGCCAGTCGCAGGGCTTGACGGGGCTTGGACCAAGAAGGGCGGATGGATACAGCTGGGAGAGAGAGAGAGAGAGAGAGAGATCCTAGACCAGCTGGACCCCTGGCCAAGTCTCACGGGCCAAGATGCCAATCGGAGGTACGGGAGCAGAAAAGAGCTAAAAAAAGGAAACGATTTGGAGCAGAAAAAGAGGATTATCCGATCATGCAGACAAGTTCCCGCCCGCCAAGTGGGCTCTCTGCGAAAAGCTATGACTTGAAGCCACAACAAAGCAGGTAGGTGCTTTGTTTTGGGGTCTTTTCTTTTTTTGGTCTCCATCAAATCTGTCCGTATATTCAAATTGGGTATATAAAATTCATGAGACCTTTCAAGATAGCTGAAGAATACACATACATGCGCGGCATCTTTTAGCAAAAACTGTTTAGTCTCGAGCTGAGCTCATGCACGATTTAGAAGAAATCCTTTTTTTTTTGCACCGCCCGGTCCGCTGTGGCTTGCGTCCATAGGCTTTGCGGAGGGGGGGGGGGGTCACGGCATGACCGACTTGCGCTCAGGGTTTTTTTTTTCTTTTTTGCGTCATTCTATGCAGTTGAAGACAGCAGTTATCGATAAGCTCCATCTCTCTTCTCTCCCGCATAAGAAAGCCCAGCTTTTGCTTTGACTGGGAAAATGGGTGGAGGGGGATGATGTAAGTAGTTGGGGGTCAGTTTTTAATGTCCACTGATCGACAGAACCGGCCTGTTTAGTCACCCAAGATCCCATCCGCGGACCGGTTCGCTCGGCCGACGAACACACAGCGCCAGCCAGTAAAGTTGACTAGCCAGCCGCGAATATCAACCAATAACAGATCATCATCCGTTTAAGCATCCAAGGGTTCTTTTATTCGTATTGCGACAGAAATACCCAATACAGAACATGTAGCTGTAAACTTGAACAACTCCCCCCTCTGTTCAACGCCAGCAATCTTGTTGCTTTTTGCACGTTTAGGCCCCTCCAGCCTTGGCACAATGCCCGCTGATAGCGTTCTATAATCATTTCAATCCATCAAAAAAAAATTCTTGATAAATCCGCCGCCGAGGCCACTTCGACCGCCTGCGGTGGCTTGGACCGGGACAAGGTTTTTCGTCCCCCGAGGCCGAGAGCCTCACAGGCGACCAACCCCACAAAGGAACTTGACCGGGGGGTGGGGGGGCTTTCTTTTTTCTTGTCGAAATCCTTCTTTCGGACAAAACTCCGGCGTCAAGGCTGTCTGGTTGAAAAACCCGGGTTCCTGGTTCTCTCCGTACTCACACATTGGGGGGGGGGGGGGGGGAACCCTCTTGTCCAATAGCAACATTGGAGGCTTCAACGGGCAGGCAGCGAGGCTGAGTCAAACATTTCAACTAATTTTACCGCTTTACCAATTCAAGACTGTATTTTTCAAGGTGGCCCTCTTCTTGTCGGCTGAGTCTTTACCCTTTTTTTTTTATTGACGTTTCTCCTAGAACATGTTATCAGGTGCTATGCATACATAGCATAGTCCGACGCCCATTGCGCATTGTAAAATTCCTCTTTTGCTTGAAGCTTCCCCCAAGCATCTATACAGAAGTGGGTCAGACCTTCCTCCTCCAATTGGCAGGCAGGGCACAAGAGCTGAGACAACAACAGCCTCGAATCAAGCGCCCATCTTTTGAGCTGCTCCTCGGAGAGGCTGAGATGGACGTCGGAGGCCATGGAGCGCTCTGTGCCCTGCAGGAATGAATGCCGCTGAATGCAATCACCATTGCAAAATACGTTCGCAACACGCTGTCAGCGTTGCATTCTATAGACAGCGAGAGATTGGGAAACAAACGAAACGAATGGGCAATTCAGGTGGAGGCGCTTTCTCTTGGCCTTTAAAACTTGTTGTCGCAATGCGTTGTCCCTATGGGTCTTGGCAGTGGGAATCCATTCTCGAGCATGAACTTGTTCTAATTTGGCGATGCTACATTCAACATAGCTTTTCTCATTATTAGGCATCCATGCTGCCGACTTGCGCATTGTTATAGATGACGGGCTTGGCATAACTATAGATGACGGCAGGCAGTCCAGCTGCACAGCGGCCTCCCTCCCTCCCTCCCCCCAACTATCCGCCAACGCCGACTCCGCTGCATTCATTCTTCGCCAACAAACCTAAACGAGCCTAGAATGGCTCGTCTAAAGGTAGTAAAGGATTGCAGGTCTTTGTCCTAGTCTCTCTATCCATCCATGTATAGACAAGCCCATGCATCATGCATCTCAACTACTACCAAAGATTCCGGTCCTGCAAAAGAGCCACGAGCGAAAGCCAGCGGCGGATTCCCCCTCATGTGCGCGTTGTGACACAAACTAGCCCTCCCGTTCTGTCTGCCTTGTCCCGGTCCTCCGCATGAACCAGTCCGGTATTAGTTGACGGCTCCCCCGGCCGAGGCATCAGCTCCGGGGTTTTGTTTTTTAATTTTTCTTCACAAACTAATAAAGTGCACAACGATCAACACCCCCTCCCCACCTCTTCGGAAGTCGGCCCAAACTGCCCGCACAAAAGCAAATAATCCATCCCGACCCCCGATAGACGAAAGCTATAATGTATTGCTGATTATAGCCACTAGCACATATCAGATTTCAGCAACCTATTTGGCACTTGGAGATCGGGGACTGCGCTGCGGAAACTGCACTATGCAATGCAGATATATGGAGACCCCATGGTAGCAACTATCAGTATCAGCAAGTGCCCGGCAGCCCAGCTACCTAATTACCAGTTTGCCAACGAAAGCACCCAGGTCCCCCCGGCCTGTCAAATCATTTTTTTTTTGGGGAGGAGGCTTTCTATCTCAACGGTGCGGCGCTTTGAGCTTTTTCAGCCTCGCCGCACCGAAAAAGGCTTTGATCTCGAGCTTCTCACAACTCAGCTCCCCTTCCCTCGGTGTCCGCCAAAGTCCCCTTGTACAGTGCCACAAAACAACCTTGTTCCGCGGACCAGATCTTATTCGGTGCCCCCTTTTTTTTCTTTCCAAATTTTTATTGTAATTTTAATTTCCCCTTTGGACGGCGGTATTGCTTGTTTCCGTCTCCTTCTCTCTAGGACCCCCAGATCGTGAGAGAAAAAAGAATCCTTGTTATGGGGCCGAAACTGCCGAATTTAGCACCAAAAACTGATAACTCTTCACTGGCCGGCTGCCTCTTTGACCAGGGTCTTCTCCAGACGTCCCACCCACACTGCCCTTGTCCTTTTTTGCGCAACGTTTTTTTATAGTGTCTTCTCCAATGAATTCCCCAATGTAAATGACGGTGGTTCTCGATACACACAGCCCCACTCTCCTCCGCTCTTCTGCTGGAGGATTTTGCTCTCAGAATCCTAGACGAGCTGATGGGTTGTGCATTAGCTCGAGATTGTATGGACAGAAGAAGAAGAAGAATAAGAAAAGCCACCGATGACGAGGGCACCATCGAAACTGGCATGTTACATCCGAAGACCTCCCTGCCATAGCTTGTGTGTTTGTTTCTTGTGCCATTGCGTAATGCGCACCGTTCCCTCGAACAACGGCAGCGGCCCCAGTAACTTTGAGGCGAGCTGGAAAATTGGGACGGTCGCGTCTGTCGCAGTCGTGATTCCTCCAATCTAGTTGCATCGTTCAAGCTTTTTCGATGTACTAACTAGTTACGGACCGGTTTTCGGGAATTGAATCGTCAGAAAACGGCTGCAGGGGGGGGTTGGACAAATCAACACTCCCCCACCATCTTACCGACCGCGGAGCCCTGTGGCAGTGGAGGTCGGAGGGGAGGGGGGGGGGGGCGGCGCGGCTAAATCCGCCCGGCTAGTCAACTATATAGAAGCAAGGCTTCGGGGGGGCGTCTACAGCAAATTAGAGACACAACATAGTGATACACCGAGACAACACGATCTGTCTCTTCTCATTGGCTCCTGCATGACGCCTCATTCAGGGGAGGGCCAGACCCTCAGCCCTGTATAGGCGGGGAGCACGGGGCGGGCCATTTGACAGCTTGCTTCTGTTATTACCGTCTACGTCATTTAAACATGTGCAGTTGATCTTTGTTTCTCGCAAGATCCCAGGCCAGCTGAGGTCCAGCTTGCCGCCTGCCATTGCTGAATCCCACCACAATGGGAGAATCCTCGGGATTCCACCACATTTGAAGATTCGTCAAGCAAGAAACGAGAAAGGGGGATTTTGAAGTGCCTCCTGATTCCAGAGGCAGCCGACTACAATCGAGCTCTCCTTTCCCACATCGTTCATATTGCACTTGCCGATTAGGTTGCGACACCATCTACAGATCTATTTCTTGGCTGTTAGTCGAAGCAGACCTTTTCGGCAGATGTCAGGTTGCCCATACCTCCAGCGATATCGTTCAGTGGATGCATCGTCTATTTGAGTGCCAACATCGGACCCAACAGATGAGTCGATTCCGAAAGAGGATTCTTCGCGCAGTATCATTGGGATAATATCTCCAAATGTATATGTACAGACAACGGCATGGTTTGTGCCCATGTCCGAGACCAAGAAACAAAGCTCAGCACTAACAAAAATCATGTAACCGTATGATACCCAGAAAGACGCCATGCAAACTCCCTCGCACCGAGAGAAAACAAATCAAAGATCAAGTCAAGCAGCCACGCTGTCCGTCATCTAGCGCGTTTCGGAGTAATCATTCAGGGCGACACACACGGCGCCCCTATGGTGGCCGTTGTATTGCCGAATAATCTGCTGGCTGTGTAGCTCCCAGAGACGCGCATAGTGATCCGAGCACGCCGTGACGAGATACGCCGAGTCTGCACTGAACGCACAGTCCCAGACCCAGCGCTGATGTCCCGTGAGCGTGGCCTCGAGGGGCAGCGCCTTGGGCTGCTCGCCGGGCTTGGGCGCGCTCCCCTTGACCTCCCAAATCTTGGCCGTGTGGTCGGCGCTGCAGGTGGCCAGCTTCTTGACGTCGGGCGAGAGAAGGACGCGGGTAATGTACTCCTTGTGCGCAGAGAACTGTGTCACGGGCACCATGCGGGTACCGTCGTATTCTTGCTCGATTCTCCAGACGAAGACGTTGCCCTGCGGTTTCATTGTTAGCAACACAACTGCCACCGGGCCAAAAACAATAGAACAATGAAGCACGGCCTTACGCTATTATTGGCGGCGCAGAGCAGCGTGCCGTCGCTGGCGACCGTGACACTCGACACGGACACGTCCGGCTCGGGGGTGAGCTCGTGGGCGCATGTATTCTCGGCGAGGTCCCAGACACGGACGTAGCCGGAGCGGTCGCAGCTGATAATCTCGCCCTGGTTAGGATGAATGACGACGTCGTTTGCGGGACACCCGTGGCTGTAGCTGCGCTGGATCGTGCCCGTGCGTGTCTCCCAGATTTTGACGGTGCCGTCCTCGGAGCTCGTCACCATCCACTTGCCCTCACAGTGAAAGGCGACGCCGGTGATGTTGCCCGTGTGACCCTCAAACGTCAGCAGCGGGCTCGGGTTCGTCGACTTGATGTCGTAAAGCCGCACGACCTGGTTGCCGGCCGCGGCGAGGTAGCGCTTATCGGGTGAGATGCACAGGCGGTTGACCTGCGAGTCCTGATGCTGGATCGTACGGGAGCAGATGCCGGAGAGGGCCTCCCAGAATCTGCACGGCCGGGGGGGATTTCGCGGTTAGCTCGTCGCGAGGAAGAAGTTGGCGGAGGGAGAATTCGGAGGGAGAGTTAGACAGCAGATGGACTGCGGGGAAGCTTGCCTGATTGTGTGGTCATAACCGGCTGCAGCGTATACCCGTGGTCAGCTTGGGTGCCGCGAGACAGGACGGGCAAGGGAAAGCTTTCAAGATGACGAACCTGTGCAGAGAATCACCGACATGGTGGGCGGTGCCTATGTGGACCAGCTGTCCCGCAGCTTGCGAGACGCCTGGCGTGCGACGGGTAAGAGGTTTGCGACGGAACGGATGGCGATTTAGCGAGGGTGGGCGCAGGATGCAAAGCTGTCGTGATGTTGTTGCGTGTGTGTGTGTTTGCAGCGTTTGCGCCCGTGATGGAAGCTCGAGGATGTGATGGGACATGGTGTGGAGCCCTGCGTGATGTACGTACCTCGACGGTGGCGCATGCTCACCATGAAGACGAACGAGGCCTGTCTAGGAACCAAAAAGTCATTGATCTTATCTAAATAAATGAATGTCGAGGATGATCAAACGGATCGAGCTCCAGTTGCTTTAGAAGCTCGAGGTGTCTCCGCGGTTGAATGAGCGGAAGCACTCACTAATACGTCTTAGTCTCCATGTTAGTTGGCCCTCGCGATCATATCATGGTCTTGGTGGTACGTGTAAAAGCACTCTCAATCGCGAGGTTTTGTCAATTATTGTAGCTTAAAATCCCTTCAAATAATACCGTACGCCGCAAGATATTCGATCCAGAACAGCAGACTTTCACTGCTGGATACTGTGTATTGGCACAGCTTTGTGAAACTCCCTTCATTATTCGTAACTCCCGCCGGCTCGACACCTCATGTCTGCGATCCAGAGCCTGGTCTCGGTTGCTCTCCCGACCCTCGTTGCCCTGACCCCCGGCGCCCGTCTGATGAGCCGCCCAGCGTTTCCTGGCCCGGCGGCATGGAGGCTGGCAAGTCGGCGTATCGCAGTCGTGGGAGGCGCACAGCTTGCTCGCTCGTATATCCCGGCGGTACCATGCGCACCATGGAGCCTCCGCAATAACTGCAGTCGAGAGCACTGTAACGGAGAAATAGTCAGCAACGCCCACGGCGAGAAGCTGCCGCCGATCGGGGGGGGGGAAGAGGTGGATAAGGGGCCTACTTTCTAGTACTGCACATGATGCAGGGGACCGGGCTATAGCCCAAGAGCAACCCAACGTGATACTCTTCGTGAAGGTTCGACATGAATTATTGCGTATGCGGACTTGTGTTCGTTTTAAAGGGCCAGTGGTAAACAGAATTGGCTGTCGTCGAAAAAAATAAAGGAAAAGTCCAAGGGCGACTAGTGGTATAATAACAGAGCACGCAATAACTCAAACAGAAAGAAAAGTTTAAAACTTAAAAATTTTCGGGAAAGACTTTGACTTATAATCCTAAGCTCATGCACATCGGACCAAGTATCACAAGGTTCTTGGGACGATTGGGCTTGCCACAGCACACAAGGAAAGTTGGCAGACACGCCGAGTTTGACGCAGTAGTCCCCTTCCCCAAGGCTTGTCTTACTTTTGCAAGACACGTGTAAACCAACTGTGCCGTGATTTTGAAGTTTTTTTACCTTTTTCGGGATGTGGCAACCTTGCAAAATTTCGATGGCTTCCGCGCGTCCTAGGTAGTTTTCTCTCTCTTGCCCCGGGGGGTTCCGCCGCCACAAAAGATTTCCGCTCAAGGGGCCGCTTGACCAAGAATGGCCAGAAGAAATCATTCTACATTGTCGAAAGGGCAGCAGCTTCTTCAAGGCCTAACTGCGCGGATCATATGACAGCTCGTAATGAGATGGGGGTCAGCAAGGACAGGCGGCCGACTGCCGTCACTTCGTGGCACACGCTTGGGTAGCATTCCGGCGGATGTGCATGCCGTCCAACCATGCCGAAACAGCTACTAAAAAGAATAATGCCAGTAAGACGAAGGAAGGACAAAAAAGTAAACAATAAAAAATAAAGCCTCTTACAACTGATTCCCATAAAGGTTTGTTTTTGAAAAGTTTTTCCAGTCATCCCCGCGGAGAAAAAAAAAAAGGCGAATCACCAAGTTCAGGCGCAAAAAACGTGTGCAGGGTTGTTTCAGATAGAGTGTTGACGAGAATGGGTGCGTCAGGCCTCCAAGCGCACACAGTCTACGCTAGAGACACTTTGACACTTTATCGGCATCTGTGCCATGTGGGTGGCAGGTTGCCAAGACATGCGATAAGGAAAGAAAAAAAAAATCACAAGAATACAGCGACGCGGAACTGTGAAACGTCAAGTTGCGGTCGCGATGCCAAGCGTGGGGGGGTCGGCACTTCCGTGACCGGCGGGCGTATGAGGCAAGCACGGTTAAAAAAGTTCACCCTCAGCCTGCATTCAACATTCAGTCGGCAGTTGTGCAGAGCTATGATGTGAATAAAGCATTAGCCATGTGATTGCTAGAATGGATGAATAGCCGTGCCAGCGGGTGGCGAGGCAGCAGGACGCGAATAAAGTTGTCATTGGGGCGACGCATCAAGACGTTAAAGCGAGGAGGGGGTCCCTGGCAGTAACTGATCGTATAGATTTTGCATTGCTTGTATTCTGCGACGAATCGTTTGGCTTGCATAAGAACCAACTGGCCAATTACCCCTCAACACTGCAAGTTAAGCTAAAGAAACTTTGTATTGCCTTCTCCACGGAGGTGCCGGTTCACGGAGCGGGTTCTCATGCTAACGCCGGTATCAAAGACTGCCGACACCTACTATGCTCACTGGCGTTTACACATGAAGTTCTGATGTTC